TCAGGTACCTTGCCGACTGGCGTGGGCAATCTCGCCTCTCCTGCAGCATGTATCAGTTCGTTTTGATGACACACATATAGCACAGCCATATTAGGGCACCACCAGGCACGCCGTCACGAAGCTAACATGTCGGGAGGGAGGCCTTCAGCGCCACCCCCCCCCTCCCCCACCCCATCTTCCCCCACGGCCTTACACAGTTTCTAGTTGAAATTTGTAAAAGGGGAGAGAGGGTAAAAGTAAGGGAAATTTAAGATCCCTTTTCACGCCGGCCGTCTTTACTTTCCCAAGAAATATATGGATAACGCAGAAATTGGTATTGCCCTTAGAGAGATAGGACGTTCTAAAGATTTTGGAAGCAACGCTAAGAATACGTGAATTGGGGGTAAAGATCGGCACAGCCAAGCATGAGAAGCACACCGGACGCACACGAAGTCTTGTTAACCAACATAGGACTGCCACTATTAACCGCACGACGCTGATGAATCTGTTGAGAGGAGAATCTGAGCGCCTATTCATGTGCATGGAAAGCTGTGAAGATAATCTAATTCGTAACTCTGTATGCCTATATCTCCTTTTCGTTCTACCCTGTGCAACTTCTTCAGAATCATGGATGCAACTCAGTCCAGCACCTTTGGCTTCTCTCTTAACGTTCGCTTTAGGATTTCTTTTTGGACGGCCTTACCTTCACATGCCCCTAATTTCCCATTGTAGTGCAGCTTAGTGATGATCCTTTTTTTTTCTTTTCTCAAAATGTATCCATTATTGCGTCATATTCACCGTCTTATAACTGTTGATACTAGTGTTTGCCCTGACATTTGTCTTATTTCTTCACCCATGTTGAATTCAGTCCAGTCCCCAGTTATCTGATTTGTTGAGAAAATACGTGTTGCTTGTAGTGTATGCTGTCCACCTATGTGAGTTATCCACACACACCTGTCCACGACCGGGTCCAGATAAGGGCCGTGCTATACGCTTTGAAACCGAAGGTAGTGAGTTTGAGTCCGAACGGAACCAGAATTTTGAAGGTCGTGAGTTTAAGTCCGAACGGAACCAATTTTTTTTAAACATGACCTTGGCCTTCATGTCGACCCAGCATTGAGTGGGTACCAGGTGAAATCCTGGAAAGTAAAGGCGGCTGGCAGAATGTTGACTACATTACTCATCGAGTGCCGATTTGGTCTATGAAATACAGGTCTTTCACTGTATGCCTAGTACGTCTGAAAGCGTGGGGAAAGGGCTCTTTACTTGTTTACTGTTGCCACAGAAGAATATTGACAGGCCTTCTAAATATTCTTTCCTAATATTTATATTGGTTTATATAACGGATCAACATCATGGCACAAGGGTAGTAACCCATAAGTGCTCAGTTCTACCTCTAACAAGTATGAGTTCGAATAATATCAGCACAGTGCACGAACTCCGTAGCACCGGCGAGGATCTTAATGTTTTCTTTTTGATTTCGTCATCCTTGCATCTCTCAATTAAATGTCTCCTTCTTTTGCGTTTGCCCTAAAAAAAAGGAAACCGGAACGGCAGACACATTTTGTTATGATTTACAGCTAAAATTTTATATCTGCGCCTTCGACACAACACATTCATATTCAGCAAATCCTTAATTTACGCTTGTTTTCCGGCATGCTTTTTTAAGGGAGAGTGTCTGTTCTTTTCTTTCCCAAAATTGGGATCTCGGAACCTATACGAGGATTAATTCAGTTTTACATGTCTTCTCTCATCATCGTCATGTGCCCTGCCAACTGACGTAGGCGCTCATGCGTTTCCACCGATCACGATCCCTGGTTGACTGGAACAGCTCTCTTGATGATATCCATCCATGCCATCGTGTCAACCCATCCAGCATCATCTCTCTTGGTCTGCCTCTACCCCTTTTCCCACTGATCTTTCCAGGTGTCACGATGTTCTCCAGTGTCTCTCTTCTCATTACGTGGTCAAAGAACAGTGTTTGTCTCTTTCTTATTGTTGTATATAGAGATCTACATGTCTTCTCTGTCCATAAAAAATAAATAAATACAAATATCGCCAGAACCTACGACGGGGAGCCGCAGTGTTGCAGCGGCTATACGCTCGCCTGTGGATCCGAAGGCCGTAATCTCAAGTCCGAGTGGGGTAGTTTTCTTTTTCTTTAGTAAGGTCCTCAGCTCCCTCCCTGGTCGACACAACGTCCAGCTCTCCTTACCACTGTTGAAATCAAGACAAGTCATGCAGCCAAACTGCCCACAGCTAGGATCGAACCCGGCACCTTGCCATTACGAATCGCGTTCTCAGCGCCTCCTCAGCCACAGGGAAGATAAATGCTCTTAAAATTTTAACTTCGATTTCCTTGCTGGCGCTTGATCATATAATTTTGATGCAGTGTAATCTCTATATTGTTGTGGCCATCCGCCTATTGACAACTGTTGAACAGTCTCCATTGCTGTTTATTATAAAGCTTAGTTATTCAAAGTTTACGACATTTTCACTTTCTTCATAAACACAAAAAAATTTTTTTTTTTGTGTGTGGGGGGGGGGGGGGGGGGGGGGGGGGGGGGGGGGTTGGGGGGGGGGGGGGGGGAATGGGGTGGGGAGGGAGGTGACAGTCAGTTTTTATCTGTAGATATTACTTAAAAGATGCATACCATGAACATTTTTAACCGTATCTGAACTTCTAAAATTTCAATAGGGCGCCCTATAAATATATTTTATCCACTGAGTACTCTCTCAATATTCACCCTTTTCTGATTTGAGAAAAAAAACCTAACTTTTTAGGGAAGGGAAAGAGTTAAGGGGACTATCAAATAATTTGGTACGTGTTCTAAAGGTCGTTTCCCGATTTCTTCCGTCGGTTTGCGAAGGACGTCTATACTCATGCATTTCTATGTACACTACATCCTTTCCCTCCACGCCTAGTCACATTTTATCAGTTTTCTTCATCTGCATAATCAACGGAAACAAACATTTTTGTAAAATCAAACAACACAATACAAGCTTATTTTGTTTTAAATCAATATTTAAATGTATTTACGCACACATTTTTTTCTTCTTCTTTTTTTACAAGAATGCAACGAGTGTCACAGAATGATAGAAAAACAAATGAAATAGTCCTACTGGTGGTAAATAAAAGTCGTGAACTTATTTAAAAAGTTGGATGTACACTGACCGTGTTTTTTTTCGGACATTTTATGAAAAGAAAGGGACCAGAGAAATTGATAACAGCGCACAATATTGATGGAAAGGTAGCAAGGGAAGGCAAAGAGATAAACACAAGGAAGCCTCAATTACTTAAATTGGGCGAGACAGCAACACTGACATGATCCATGATTCTGGTGATTGTGGGAATGACGAAACAAATGCCAATAATGATGACGTTATTACTTCAGAACTGATAACTTTATGGCGTTTGACGTATTTCTCGTCAATAAAATAGATACCCTATGTAATTTAAATGTCATTAAATATTCTAGAAGATGTACATGCAATGGTGTAGTTTCTATAAAAGAGGTGTTAGCTGTGCTTACAAATTAAAATGATAAAAATACCCCCCGCCCCCCCCCCCCCCCGATTTGCGGAAGCATTATCTATCAGCCAGATTAGTCCTGAATTATGTAGACAAAAAGACATTCTCTTCGAACCAACAGTATAGAATAAGTATCAACTGTTAACCGTCCCAGTAAGGGAGGTAAATTTTTTGTGTAAAATTAATCTAGTCATATCCTTGAGAGATGCAATTTTTCGTTATTTGAAGCCCCACCCTGGCTCTTGCCAGGGGCCGTAATATAGCCCGACCATAAAAATTGTCTAATGGCTGAACGCGTGAAGAGAGCGGCGTTCTGTAAAGGACTTGCTGATTGATGATGAGCTGTTAAAACTAACCTATGGTAATTTTAATATTACTTTAACTCTTTTGGTGCCTAATTGTGACTAATTTACCCCTTCTGGATCTAAACAGCTAATACTGTACATAACAAATACTCAGGAATCAATGAGTTAGGTGACACCTGCCTGGGAATGAAAGAGTTTAAAAGAAAAAAAAAAAAAAACATTTTCATTTGGGTGAGTAAGTACGTAACCACCTTCATTTTCTTTCCCCCACCAGAGCTCCGTACTGTTTTCTTTATGTAGACCCCGTTATAAACTGGTACAGTTTTTAGTTTCCTGATCATTATTTTGATGATAGCTTCATTTAAGGGAACGTCATTATCTAATGACTGCAATTGTGTTATTGCAGATTGTCTGTCCTCTCTGGGCTGCTCCCTGAAGATTTGTAGGTATACATACAACCTCCCCACAGCTATTTATTAAGACGGCATTGCCTCCTCTTACTCTGTTAAACCTGTAGAATACGTGGAGTTCATGGCTGCTAAGAGGACGGCTTTCTACAGTGGCTACCCAAAAAAATAAGCGGTCTAGAGTAGATGAGGGTTCTTTAGAGCAGCGGTTCTTAAACTGGGTGCTGCGAGCGTATGCCATCGGCAATAATAAAGAGTTTTTAAAAATCTACTTCAGATCAGCGAAGACAGCAATTTGAAACAGAAATACCAAGAAGGACGCAAAGAAAAGTTCTGGATGCAAGTGTATTTAGAAGACAGTGCTATTGGCAAGACTGCAGGACATTCTCAACGTACGCTTATGTATAAAACCGATACAGGAGCAAACTTTCTGAGTCAAGTGATTTGAATGCAAAACTAACTTAACTTCCCATATACATAAAGGAAATGATAAACAAATCATCCAAATTCTTTTATCACATTAAAGACGAATGAACATTAATTGTGCACTGTTTTTTCTTCTTTTCGTAAGTATTCAAACCGCTTTAAGTAAGGGTAGGTGTGCCGCGAAAAAATCTGGCCCGACAAGGGTGACGCGGTGAAACAAGTTTGAGAACCGCGACTTTAGAAGATATGTTAAAAGTTTGGACGCTACTGTAAAAGACACTTCATGATGATTACTGGCACTACAGTTTAGAAGAAACCAGGTCACGCCGGTGTAGAAATGGATGTATTTATTTATTGTTTTTTGGTCATTATCTTCGCAAACTCTACATAGTTGATGCGACCGTCACCATTGGTGTCTGCTTTCGCTATCATGGCGTCTGCCTCCTCGTCCGTCATGCGCTCTCCAAAATTTGTTACAATAATTTTAAGCTCCGGCGCTGTGATGAAGCCGTTCTTATCCCGGTCAATGAAGCTGAAATAATAATAATAATAATAATAATAATAATAATAATATTAATAATATAAATGTAAACGTAAACAGGAGAGGCCGGCGTAATACTGACCACATTACCGACCTAGTGCCGACTAGTATGTTAAAATATGGGTGCTCTTCCCATATGCCCGATGCGCCTTAATGAGTGAAAAGGGATCTTTACTTACTTTTCTACCAAGTATGAGAAATGACCATTTTCGCAACAGTGGCTTATCGGGAATCAATGCCGTACTCGTGTTTGTAGACCACTTAGCATTCGACATGTACATAGTCAGCGACTCACCGGGTGCCTTTACTTCCCTTGATCTGTACCTGGTATCTATTTTAGACTGGGCGACCAATGCCAATTTTGAAAAAAATCTGACACGACGGGAATTCGAACTCAAGACCTTGAGACCGGCAGGCGAGCGTCTAGTCACTACCTCACCATGGTTGCTGATAATAATAATAATCATATCTATATATATATATATATCTATATATATATATATATATATATATATATATATATATATATATATATATATATATATATATATATATATATATATATACAAATCAATGTTTGTGTGTTTGTTTATGAGCTATAGACTCGGAAACCACTGAACCGATTTAGCTGAAATTTTCAGGATATGTTTGTTTTGATACCGGATGTTCACCTATCATGGTTTGAAATTCAACCTGTCATTGTTAGAGATAGTTTGCGACAATTTAAGCAAAAATATTCGAAACTAATATTTAAATTTTTAGTGACATCTAATTATAGCCACGTTACGTGAGATCGATTTACCGTTCATGCGCAATAGTAACGCTCCATCGTCAACATCCGCCCGCAAAATTACAAGGAGAACGGCCATCGGTTTTTAGTTGGCTATAGCTCCCAATTTTAGTCCGGATGGACAGGGATGTCAATGTCATTTACAGCAACAACAAAATATCGCCAGGTAATGATTTCAAACATTTCGAAGAGGGAGAGAGCAGTAGTCGGTGGAAGAGGGGAGGGGGTAATGACTTAAATTTAAGAGCTTTACACGTGATTTTCAAGTTCTCAATACCTAATTTGTTTATATTTTACTAACGCTACCTCCGCTTTTCTATTTTTTACGACTTACTTTGTTATTTACAAGTACAGTTGTAGCTTTACTTCCGTCTCCTATAAAAATACAAACAGCTTTAGCATGTGATAACCAAATAACCATTTTTGTTACTGTGCTAATAACACCATTTAAACGACCACTAATATAAAGGTGCGTGTTCTAAAGTTGGAAAACCAGACTATCTCTATATCTGTGCAGAGAATGATTGCGACATTAACTATATTAGACACGTGCGATTTCCATTGTCTTTCTTTTCCAAAAACTTTTGATGAGGGAGAGAGTAGTAGGTGGATTTCGTTGTGGTAGTGAGAGAGGGGGAGGGCGGGGATCAAAGACTATCTCTATAACTGAGCAGACAATGTTTGTATTAGACACGTGCGATTTCTATTTTCTTTCATTTCCATTTAGCTAAACTATGCCACAGCAAGGCGTGGCCGGGTACAGCTAGTGTTATTTATAAATATCTAAAAAGGTAAAAGCATTTATTTCAGTAACATTAATCAGTATGTACATGTTTTGTGTTTACTTCAAACAAGTGTGCACCACTTCCTTAATCTCGCAATGATAAATATATACACATTATCATTATCTGTTATCTTTCTCATACTCACGGGTACACCGTACAACAGTTTTGGTTGGCTTACTTCTGTTATTCAAAAGAACTATTTAAATTTACACGACATTCCGTCTCAGGTCAGTGTTAGATTCTAGAAATATCTCAACAGGTAAGCGCATTTATTTCAGTGACATAAATAATTATGTACATTTGTTTAACTTCAAATACATGTGTGGACCACTCCTTAAATCCCACAATGATACAAATGTATACACATTATCATTAATCATTATCTGTTATCTTTCTCATACTCATGACTACAACAGTTTTGGTTGGCTTTCTTCTGTTATTCAAAAGAATTATATAAATTTACATGACATTCCGTCTCAGTTCAGTGTTAGAATCTAGAAATATCTCAACAGGTAAGCGCATTTATTTCAGTGACATAAATAATTATGTACATTTGTTTAACTTCAAATACATGTGTGGACCACTCCTTAAATCCCACAATGATAAATGTATGGTCATTATCTGTTGGCTTTCTCATATTGTCTTATATACCGCCTTTTCTGACTATTTGCTGCCCAGTTTCTATGCATTTCCCCTTGAGTCAAAATAGATTGTTATCTCATGCTCATATTTTCATTTATTTCAGCGATACTTCAAGTCACATTTCATTCAGTGCGTGAGGTCGAACAAGCTATTGATGATCAGCGCTCACAAAATTTGCAGTTATGCTTCCCAAACGACAAGCGATTGGCCCATCTACACCTAAAACACGCAAGAGAAGGGCATTAATTGCTTCAGAAACAGACGAGCAACGTGAGGTAAGACTGGAAACCATTCGAGTGCGCACTGCTGAAGCCAGATCGTCTATCGAGAAGCAAGACTGGAAACCAATAGAGTACTCACTGCTCAAGTCCGTTTATCAGACACAGTCGAGCAACGGAAAGCAAGACTGGACACCGTTCGAATGCGCACTACTTTATGCAGGCGAACACTGCATGTTGATTTGAATCTTGGTGCATTCCCCTACACCAGCAATTATGATTACAGTCTTCATCCACATGTGCTTATTGGCAAAATGGATAAATTGTGCGTACATTGCAGTGCCTTCAAATTTAAGAATGACACGCCGGGTATATGCTGCGCTGGTGGAAAAGTTAAATTGCCAGTATTACATTCACCACCCGAACCTCTATCATCATTGGTAGCAGGTGACACAGGCCAGTCGACACATTTCTTGGCAAACATAAGTACATTTGCAAATATGTCAACAAAGGAGGCGATATGGCAGTCTTTGGAGTGGGACATGCAGCAGCATCTATCGATGAAATCAAGCAATATCAGCTGGGGCGCTACATTAGTAGCAATGAAGCGGTATGGCGCATTTTGTCATTTCCAATTCATGAACGACATCCAGCAGTTGTTCATTTGGCAGTGCACCTTGACAATGGACAGCGCGTGTACTTCACTACAGAAAATGCACATGCACGAGCATTGTTACCACCGCCAACCACGTTAACTGATTTTTCTCATTGTGTAGAGATGATATGTTAGCAAAAACACTACTTTACTCTGACCTGCCAACATACTACACGTGGAATGCATCAGCTAAAAAGTTTCAACTTTGCAAGCAAGGTCAAGCGGTTGACGGACATCCTAATTTATATTCTACTGATGTTTTAGGCCGTCTCTACACTGTTCATCCCAAAAATGCAGATTGCTTTTACTTGCGAATACTTTTAATCAACAAACGGGGACCGATATCCTTCCAGGACTTGAGATCAGTTTATGGTAAAGTATGTGCTACTTACTATGAGGCTTGCCAAGAATTAAATTTTCTTGAAAATGATGCACATTGGGACACTTCACTCGCTGATGCTTTGAATACTGCTCGACCACAGCAAATACGCACATTATTTGCAATAATATTAACAACTTGCTTCCCATCCAATCCAAAAGAGCTTTGGGAAAAATACAAAGACTACATGAGTGAAGACATCCTACATCGCTGGCATGAAACGGAGCATGATCAGGACCTTCAATTCACACCAAATGTATATAATGAAGGCATTTGTTTGCATTGAGGACATATGTTTGGCAATAACTAATAAAGCACTGGTTCAGCTGGGACTGGCTCCACCAGAACGATCTGCAAATGTTACAAGACAACACGGAGGATTGTATTTCATAGATGCACCCGGAGGCACAGGCAAGACCTTTCTCATTTCGCTTATTTTGGCATCCATACGGTCACAAAATAATATTGCACTGGCAATCGCATCTTCTGGATTTACCGCAACTCTTTTGGATGGTGGCCGAACAGCGCATTCAGCACTGAAGTTGCCTTTAAATATGCATATCACTGAGACACCAACATGCAATATCAACAATGATTCTGCAATGTTTAAAGTACTCAAAGTATGTCAACTCATTATACGGGACGAAGTTTTCCCTAATATCAAACAGAATTACATAAATCATCAGTGGCTCAGTGAACGTGCTATCTTAGCAGTTAAAAACAAGGATGTGTATGCCATGACTCTGAACATCCAAAACAAATTACCAGGCGGAGTAACAACGTATAAGTCTATCGATACTGTAATGTGTAAGGATGAAGTTGTCAATTATCCAACTGAGTTCTTGAATTCGCTTGATTTGCCAGGCATGCCACCCCACGTTTTAACCTTGAAAATTGGCGTGCCTATCATTCTTCTCAGAAACATCAATCCGCTACGTCTTTGCGATGGTACCAGGCTTTCAGTGAAAAAGCTGATGCCCAGTATCATCGAAGGTACACTTTTAAATAGAAAATTTAAGGGCGAGAAGATACTATTGCCACGCATCCTAATGATTCCAACATACATGCCATTTGAATTCAGACGCTTGCAGTTTCCGGTGCGATATAAAAATCAATGTTTGTGTGTTTGTTTATGAGCAATGCGAAATTACAACAATTAGCAAATGTGTTCATTTCGTAATTATGGTGTATTTTTCCTGTTTTCGTTGCTTTTCACTACGGTAATTTTTCCAACTACTTCGATGAGGGAAAAAGTAGTAGGTGAATTGGGGGATGGGTGGTTAAAATAAACTGTTTACTGAGATAGATTTAAGTTACAGTAACTGCCTTACCCACTCAAAATATTATTAGCTGTGGTTTAGCTGTTGCACTGTACATCGCTGGCGTGAAGCGAAGACAGATTTCTATGTTCTCTATTTTCCATTTAGCCAAACTATGCCACAGCAACGCTAGGCCGGGTACAGCTAGTTAATAATAAAAATAATAAAAACGACAATCTTTTCCTTATGTTGCCCTAATGCCCATGCCGCAAAGAGTTGTTAGATGTTGTGTCTACTACTGCTGCTGCTGCTGCTACTACTACTACATTTATTAATAATAATAATGATAATAATAATAATAATAATAATAATAATAATAATAATAATAATAATAAAATAAATAATAAATAAATATACGACTGATACATTATATAATTGAAAATACAAATTACCAGAGGGGTTCAATATCAATAAGAAACAAACAAGTACAGACATTAGTAAAGAAAGTAAACCCTTTTCCATGCCTTCAGGTGTATTAGGCATATAGGGCTAGACCTATATTTTAAGACCAATCAACCCCTATGGATGATTTCATCAGCATCAAGCCGGCCGTCTTTACTTCCGAGGACAATACCTGGCGCTTATACCTGGTGTACACTCAAGACTGTGTCGACCACGCAAGCTAAGGTCGTTTTTGAAGAAAAAAACAATATAGTTGGTAATAGTGGTAGTGGTGATAGTAGTGGTATAGTAATAGTGGTAGTGGTGGTAGTAGTAATGGTGGTAGTAGTAATGGTGGTAGTAGTAACTGTGGTGGAGGAGGTAGTAGTGGTGGTATGGTAATAGTGGTGGTGGTGGTAGTAGTAATGGTGGTAGTAGTAATGGTGGTAGTAGTAATGGTGGTAGTAGTAACTGTGGTGGGGGAGGTAGTAGTGGTGGTATGGTAATAGTGGTGGTGGTGGTAGTAGTAATGGTGGTAGTAGTAATGGTGGTAGTAGTAATGGTGGTAGTAGTAACTGTGGTGGAGGAGGTAGTAGTGGTGGTATGGTAATAGTGGTGGTGGTGGTAGTAGTAATGGTGGTAGTAGTAACTGTGGTGGAGGAGGTAGTAGTGGTGGTATGGTAATAGTGGTGGTGGTGGTAGTAGTAATGGTGGTAATAGTAGTAGTCGTGGTGGAGGTTATTGTTGTGGTGGTTGTATAGTAATAATGAGAGTTTTTTCTTCTTTTTCTGCGTTCGACACCAGTCATGCTAAACATTGATATGGTCATGCAAACAACAGTAATAATGGGAGTGATGGTAGTAGTGGTGATTATATAGTAATAGTTGTGGTGGTAGTAGTGGTTGTGTTAGTAGTAGTAGTGGTAACAGTAGCGTTAGCAGTAGTAATAGTAAAAGAGCATATTACACCTAAACAGTACATTATGTTATTAAAACAACAATAGAGTTTCGCTGACCTGAAAGCTGCACGAACTTCATTACACTCCTCTTCCTGTGTCTTGATACCTCGTTTACTCATGCGGTCACAAAACTCTCGGTACTCGATCCTCCCGTTTTCTATTACAAATATTAGACATACATTTTTTGGGGTGATTTATTAATATCTTACCCCAGATGACGTCACAGGACAGTCCAACATTTTATAGGGTGGTAAGACTGGGTTTCTCGGTTTTCTGATGCTTTTAACGACCCCAAAACAGATAGAACTGGCCCTAACCTCAACCCACCTACGTCCCACGAGAGAGTTCAGCCTAGTTCCCACGACTGCATGCAGCCTAGGTCCCACGACTGCATGCAGCCTATCTACCACCCCCTTAAATATTAGACTGTCCCTGTGCGGTAGCATATTAATAAAGCGCCTGATTTTTTTTAAATCATTGTTTTTTGGGTCAAGATATGTTATGTTTGAACAACGTACCAACATCATGGCACATGAGTAGTAATCCCTAAGTGCTCTATTCTACTTCTAACTCAAGTCCGAATCTGAACAAGATAGAGCCGTACCAGGGATGTGCGGGTGTGTGTGTGTGTGGGGGGGGGGGACGGGAGGGATGTTCGGATGTGTGGGAGGGAGAAGGAAGGGCTGCGGACCGTATAGGGTGTCATCACTTAAAAAAATTGGATAAGGGGGGGGGGGGCAAACTTTTAAATATATGTGTTTTTCAGATAAAACGTCTGTGAGGGTGTTGGTGTATGAGTGTAGGAGATGACAGGAAATTGTCCGCACCAGATACTACCTGACCTGGTTATGCCACAGGGGTGACAGGACATGTTTAGCACCGGGTACCACTTGATCTAGCTACGCCACTGGTCCCAGGGTATGTCCCGGGTAGTAAAGCTAACCGAAATCATGTTAATCACATCATGCGATCGAGCGCCAGTTGGTGTTTGAAAACATGAGACTTGTACCAGATGACGTCAAAGGACAGCCCAACACTTTAGGGGTGTAAGACTGGGTTTCCCGGCTTTTTGATTCTTTTAACGACCCCAAAACATCTAGAACTGGCTCTAACCCCAACCCACCTACGGCCCACGGGAGAGTGCAGCCTAGGTCCCACTACTGCATGCAGCTTTTCTAACACCCCCTGAAATATAAGACTGTGGGTTTTCCCTGTTTGGGATAGGATATTATTAAAGCACCCAAAAAGTCCAGAAGTAGACGTACAACTAGAACTTTCCGATGGAGTTAACAGCCAGTGAACGCTAAAAAGTAGATTCCCATGGCACCAAATAGCACCTGCGTTGTCTTAATTCAGAGGTTTTTTAGAGCTACTTGGTGGCGTGCAATGCTAACTCATTTCATATGGCGCACTTAACCTAGTCGTGGCGTCCTTGGCTAAGGCGTTGCGAGTCCGACTCGTAAGCCAGCATACCGCGATCGAAACCTGCCGCAGGCTGCGTGGATTTTTGTCGTGGTATGGGACGTCGCAGGTCGACCCAGCCTAAAATGGGTACCAGGATGGGCTGTCCTGGGAAAGTAAAGACAGCCGGCGTAATGCTGACCACATTACCCACAGAGTGCTGATGGTCTGTAAAAATATGGGACGCTCTGCCCATATGCCCGATGCGCCGAAAGGCGGGAAAAGGGAACTTTACTTTTTTTTTTTTTACTTACTTAACCTAGTCAATCGCTGTAGTGTAGCGACTAGACGATCGCATACGGAGAGGAAAGTGGTGGGTTCGGGTTCTGACGGAACAAGGTGTTTTTTTTCAATAATTACCTTAGCTCCCTAGTCGACCAAGCCTTTAGTGGGTACCAGGTGCAGTCCTGGGAGGTAAATGCGGCAAGTTTAATACTGACCACATCACCCATCAGGTGCCGATTGGTCTATGAAATATAGGTCTAGCCCTATATGCCCAATACGCCTAAATGCGGGGAAAAGGACCCTTTACTTACTTTACTTACTTAACCTAGTCACGATTATAACCTAAAGCTCTCACTTCGAGGATACTGGTTAAACGTAACGATTTTCCCCCCGCAAAGCCACCACCACCAGTGGTTGTTGTAGAAGCTGCAGCTCACTGACTGGTTTGCCCAGGGGCCCACAGCTTTAGGTCATTTTAGAGCCTCTTGAGAACAGAAAGTTTAAGGGGACTGAACCCCCACTTTTTCCTAATCCCCTCCTAGAGCTTTCTATGTGTCTATTCCAGGGCAGTGAGGTAGATTTTCTTAGTAGGATGCAAATTTGAAATCCCGCCCCTTAAATATTTCTCTCGAATATATCCTATAATTGCCATATTGAGGGTTAGGGGGGGGGGGGCGGATAATGCAATTTATAGTTATTTTGAAGCCCTACACTGGCTTTTCCGGGGGCCCTAAATATAGCCCGGCCGTAAATATGGCCTATACGGCTGAAAGAGTTTCCAGGGCCTCTCAACGGGTAATCCTCCTCCGCATGGTGGCACTTTGTGTCACCGGGTGTTTATCGCTCTTGTGATGTCCGGTGGGGTACAACTAACTTACCTACCTACCTACTTACTACATCTTCGCCCTTCTTACCTTAACTTTAGCAAATTGGCTAACTCGGAGTAGCTTTGCGATGTTAGATCAAAATTACACATTTTATTTTTTTTTCGCTGCTTATGCCGTCTGATTCTGTCGAATCTCTGTATCATATCACGGCAAGGCCCTGATCGGTACCCCTGATTTGTGTAGTTTATCAGACACTTACCGTTGCAATCCATAGACTTAATCAACTCTTCTATTTCAGCGTTGGTAGGATTCTGGCCAAGTTTTTGCATTACAGTGGCTAACTCGTTTTTGCTGATGGTGCCATCTGCGTTGATATCAAATATCTTGAATGCGGCTTCCAAGTCTAAATGAACATCAACATGTATCATCTTAGATTGTAAACACAAAGCACAAAACACAAGCAGAAATGGAGGAGCAGATGTGAATACTGAACATCCAAAAAATACATGAAATACAGCCAAAATACATACAGGAAAGCACTGTCGCAGCTATGATGCAGAAGTTCAAGCCGTCAAAATAGCAGCAGATATTAGTTAGTTAGTTAGTTAGTTAGTTAGTTAGTTAGTTGGGTTATCATAATTGCACTCCGGACATGCCCATAGGTGCTCAGATCCTCCCCTAAGTATGAACCCCAACGTCCGATGGTTAATAGTACCAGTTCTATGTTGATTAACAAGTCTTATGGCGTGTCTGGTATGCGTCTCGTTTTTTGCTATGCCGATCTTAATTCCCAAGTCTGCCATTCTGGCGAGTGATGTTGATTCACTGCCACCAAAGTCCTCTATCCTTCCCATTTCTCTGAGGGCATTATTAATGTCAGCATGATCCATAGGCTGACCGTCGGTAGTGATAGCGGATCCAGCCAGCCTGTCAGCTCTTTCATTTCCATCGACGCCTGCAGCAGAGAAACTGTTAAATATACGTCGTATTTCACAACTCGTGGTATTTCTGACAGTTGCAAGAGCGATGCTTCAGGCACTCTTATCAACAAAAGAAGAGAATAGTAAGATCTACCAGAAAGTCACCAAAACCGGCACCAGACGATTACCATTTTATGGACAGACCAGAGCAAGTTATTATTCAACTGGCACCATAGTATTGGAACTCTGCGCTGGCTGCTGAGTATGGGGACGGAACGCGTATGGGAACGTCCTCATTGCTTAAATGTCTATTATTGACTCCACTCAACTCAACTTATCTCTCTATTCTCTTCTCTGTCTTCAGGACTCTAATGTATACAAATCTTACCTCCCTGTCATCTGACTTCTCACAGTATGCCCCAGCCATTTCAATCTTTAGGTTTAAACAAATTGAGCTGCCATGCCTAAAGAATAATATTTACCTTTCTTGTTTTGTTCCGTCAACTGGGGCTAAAGAAAAAAAAAATCAGAATGTTTTGGTTAAAGAAGTATTTAGGTTTAAAAAAATGTTTAATTATGACGTAGACTAGTTACAAAATTACATAAAACCTCTTTAAAGATGCTGAATTGTTTCAGAAAAAGGTGCAAGCCATCCAGGGGTAAAAGAAAACAAGGGAGAGGGAGCGCTAGCTTAGGGTGGAGATATAGATAAGGACACACATACAAACACACATACAGAGTGACACAGGAACATATGTATGTATGGATGGATGGATGGATGGATGGATGGATGGATGGATGGATGGATGGATGGATGGATGGATGGATGGATGGATGGATGGATGGATGGATGGATGGATGGATGGATGGATGGATGGATGGATGGATGGATAGGGATGTTCCTCTCAACCCATTCCCTCCACCAGATTAACCGAACTAAAATCTGAGCTATGTTGCTCTCAGACAAAGTCCTGGATATCCAAGAAAACAGCCATATTGGCTCGTTAAGTACTTTAACATTAGCTGCACTTGGTACCCACAAGAGAAGGCAAGGAATTTTATATGTCTATCATACTTAATGAATTATTAGACAGGGCAAGTGATTCCTCCGTCATCTACCTTCTCCCGGTGTTATTATTAATAATTAAAGAATTATTATATTATTTGAGCTCCCACCAAATGGTATTCTATCCTAACAGTTTAATTAAACATGTAAGAACAGACATTTGGAATTTAACAAACTATGTAGTTTAAAACTTGACATACAGCTTTATTTACTACAATGAAATTACCAGTTTGTTGATTTACACAAACAGTGACTGGTTAATGAAAGTGATACGCTTCAGCGAGACAAACAGCTCGGGGTTTAGAGTGGTATGATAATGATGATAAAAGGTTAACATAAAGGGGTTAACTCAACTTATAAGCCTCTGAAAGCCGTGAGGAACTGTCAAGCTTGTCCAACTCTTCCTTGCCTGTTGTCTGCCTGTTTCAGCTTATTCTCCACTTCCTCCCCACCTCGTTCTCCACATCGTTCTCCACCTCGTTCTCCACCTCGTTCTCCACCTCGTTCTCCACCTCGTTCTCCACCTCGTTCCCAGCTGGCCGAGTCTAACACAATGTAGGCTACTTCATGGACTGATCGTCACATGGGCGCTGTAATCATGGAAACAAAACACATACGTGTAGTATCTTGACTTACACTAAGAATACATGTATCAATTAATATAACATAGAATAATAAAATATAGCCCATCACTCCTCATATTCCCCATCCTCTCCAGTCTAGTCTGAAGGTCTTTTGTCTTACATGGGCGTCACATATCCTGCCTTCCCTCTTCATGCTATGTCATAAGAGTTGACTTTCTAAGTCTGTTGTCCGTCATCACTCAGACTTCCAACAACTGGCTGACATTGATATTACATGACCACGTGGCGCAGGTTATGTGCTGAACCCGCAAACAATTTATATGTGCTCCCTGTCCTGAATATTATCTTTCAGTGACCGTGAATTCTATACACCCATCATTCTTCCCCTGGGGTTATAAATCCCCTGTTTAGTTGAACACATTAAGTGAGCACATGGTGGGCACACAAAACGTAGCAGCATCCCTGCACATATGGGCATGATTTCCCACAGTCCAAACTCATATTTTGGCTGATCATGGAAACAATATAATTACATTTCATTATAGCAAATGTCCTTGTTCACATCTTATTTTATCCACATGAAAACATACACTGAAAAACATGTGACACAAACATACAAGAAATAGGAATAGTTTAGCAGTTCCCTAACTGAGATACTGAATTCTCACAAAGAACTATTTCAAGCAGAATGTGCAGACAAATTAGGAAAAGGTAGTATAGACTAAGCTTAACTCCCTAACCTATGTATACAAGATTAAAATTAATATTTTCTCTTACCTGGGAACTTTTCCATCTATCGCCAAACCAGAGTACGACAGTAAAATATACCTTTACGTCGACCTGTGATTGTTTGCCGGCAGGCTGCGATTAATGACGGGAATTCCACAGGCTCGAAGTATAAGTATCAATCTATTGTCCAAATTAAACTCCTCCCTTTACTGGGTTCTGCCCAACCCTCAAGACGATGACTTAAGCCACGCCTACGGAGTACCCAACAGATCAACTTGGCTAACAAGTGGCCTGTCAGTCAATTCTGGACTGACATCCCTAGAGCAAACATTTTTAAGTGCCCAAATCTAGTTTACACCGAATCTAACTGGCCGGTGTGAAAGACGGTCAGTGAAGCCATTGTGTTTCCTACGTGACCAAGATCAAGATAAAACATTCCTAATTGCCAAACACCTGTTCTCTCCAGAATTACACTGACGTGTTAAACTCCGACCTCCCGGCTCCACAATGTCTAGCGTCTACTCAATTTACCTGTTCAAAAGGGCCCCGCTCAGTCTCTACAGTCTGGTCAGGAGATAACATTCTGACACTGGCATGAGAATAGAATTCCTAGCTACAGTGTAAAGTTTTAGGTAATATTACCCAAGGTTCAGTCGCTTTGTCTGGACTAAGGACTGGAAACGTTTAAATCAATACGGTTTAAAGTAACATTTGGTTTAAGGGCATAGTCTCTTGTCTCTCAATAACCAGAAGAACTTATTACAAGTACTAACTTCTGGAATCACTGAGATCGTTTCGTGACAGTATGTATGTATGTATGTATGTATGTATGTATGTATGTATGTATGTATGTATGTATGTATGTATGTATGTATGTATGTATGTATGTATGTATGTATGTATGTATGTATGTATGTATGTATGTATGTATGTATGTATGTATGTATGTATGTATGTATGTATGTATGTATGTATGTATGTATGTGCATGTGCATGCATGTATGTATGTATGTGCATGTATGTATGTATGTATGTATGTATGTATGTATGTATGTATGTATGTATGTATGTATGTATGTATGTATGTATGTATGTATGTATGTATGTATGTATGTATGTATGTATGTATGTATGTATGTATGTATGTATGTATGTATGTATGTATGTATGTATGTATGTATGTATGTATGTATGTATGTATGTATGTATGTATGTATGTATGTATGTATGTATGTATGTATGTATGTATGTATGTATGTATGTATGTATGTATGTATGTATGTATGTATGTATGTATGTATGTATGTATGTATGTATGGTATGTATGTATGTATGTATGTATGTATGTATGTATGTATGTATGTATGTAGTATGTATGTATGGTATGTATGTATGTATGTATGTATGTATGGTATGTATGTATGTATGTATGTATGTATGTATGTATGTATGTAGTATGTATGTATGTAGGTATGTATGTATGTATGTATGTATGTATGTATGTATGTATGTATGTATGTATGTATGTATGTATGGTATGTATGTAGGTATGTATGTATGTATGTATGGTAGGTATGTATGTATGTATGTATGTATGTATGTATGTATGTATGTATGTATGTATGTATGTATGTAGGTATGTATGTATGTATGTATGTATGTAGGTAGTATGTATGTATGTATGTAGGTATGTAGGTAGTATGTATGTATGTATGTATGTATGTATGTATGTATGGTGTATGTATGTATGTCTGTATGTATGGATGTATGTATGTATGTATGTATGTGTAGGTAGGTAGGTAGTAGGTAGGTGTAGGTAGGTATGGTAGGTAGGTAGGTGTAGGTAGGTGTAGGTAGTAGGTGTATGTAGGTGTAGGTGTAGGTAGGTAGGTAGGTCGGTTGGTAGGTAGGTAGGTGTATGTAGGTAGGTAGGTAGTATGTAGGTAGGTAGGTGTAGGTAGGTATGTAGGTAGGTATGTATGTGTATGTATGTATGTATGTATGTATGTGTATGTATGTATGTATACGTACGTACGTATGTATGTATGTATGTATGTATGTATGTATGTATGTATGTATGTATGTATGTACGTATGTACGTACGTACGTACGTACGTACGTACGTACGTACGTATGTATGTATGTGCGTACGTACGTACGTACGTACGTACGTACGTATGTATGTGCGTGCGTGCGTGCGTTCGTGCGTGCGTGCGTGTGTGGGTGTGTGTGTATGTATGTATTATGTATGTATGTGTATGTGTGTGTATGTGTGTGTGTGTGTGTGTATGTATGTATGTATGTGTGTGTATTTAGGGGTGTGTAGGGCATATAAGAGTGCATGTGTACGTTAATATTCAGATTGTGGTTATTGTGTATACGTGATGTGTTTATGCTTTATTTCATTGTGTAAATTTCTATTTAAACATAACATGCATAACTGATAACATGCACTTGCAGTCTGAAAGATGAGTGCTTAGAAGGGCTGAATGTAAGACGGGCCTGCTGGCCCAATTTGTAACCCTTTGAAAATAAAGTGCATCCGCTCGTTCTTCAGCCCCAACGTTCAGTTTCCCTTTGTGTTTGTTATATCATGAAACGTCTTGGTCTACTTTTTGTTTGCTTTGATATATTGTGAATTCCTAAGTACCGAAAGAGTTAGAAAGTATGGGGACCCATGCCAGATACCGCGCTTTCTATGTAATGTAATACGTTTAGTGTAATGATTATATATACATTGTAGTCGATTATATTGAAAAATGTTATTCATACAAAGTACGAGTCGTCATTCCGTTCTTTATTTTACACAGTCTGGCAATCTTAATCTTTACAACTATGGAACCTGTGTGTTACATATATGCTCTCTACATGCAATAGAGCGATCCCAGGTTTGCCCGGTTGGCATTCCATTATAAACCAATTACGTGGAATGGTGGAAGAGATTTGTCGCAAAATAGACTTCATAGATGTATGTGGTCTTCTTATCCAAAAACAACTGGCAGGGGGAACGGAAAGAAGAAGATTAAGATAAATGAGTTAACAAATTAAAACTATGTTCAGAGAGCTCAGTTTACCAAATGTACCCACACAGGCTAGCATGATCGTTACGGGTGCCTCAGTTCTAATCTCCTTCAATGTTGAACGGAATGTCTGAGCTTTGTCACGTTGTTTTGTCACCCATGAAGAGAAGCTAAATTTCTCAGGGATTATCAAATTCTCAGGGGTTATCAAATTTTCGGCTGGCATCCTGTGTGGGAAAAACCAGCAACGATAGCCAACCCAACAAATGTTCTGAAAACTTTTAACATGAATAAGTCAAGGGAATAAATTCTGGGCGAGGATTTCTTCATACTTGTTGCAATGTTATAAAGTTTGCGGTGGGGTAGAATGTTAACAATATCGCCCAGTGAATTCTGTTACTACTGGCTAGTAAATACTGGGACTGGCTCAATCAATGGTAGGACAGACTAGATGAGGATTGGAACAGGTTAACTGGATGTTGACACTCGGTAACTGAGTGCCGGAAGTGGCAAACTGAATGCTGGGAGTGGCAAACTGAATATTGGGCGGGACTAACTGAATACTGGGCGTGGCTAACTGAACATTGGGAGCGGCTAACTGAACATTGGGAGCGGCTAACTGAACATTGGGAGCGGCTAACTGAACGTTGGGAGTGGCTAACCCAACATTGGGAGCGGTTAAGTGAACATTGGGAGCAGCTAAGTGAACATTGGGAGCGGCTAACTGAACGTTGGGAGCGGCTAAATGAACACTTGAAGCGACTTACTGAATGTTGGGAGTGGCAAACTAAATATTGGGCGTGACTAATTGAAACTGGGCGTTGTTAACTAAATGCTGACCCTGGCAGACTCAGTGTTGGGTGCGGCTGACTGAACATTGGGAGTGACTAACTAAATACTGTGAGTGCTAACTCAGCGTTGGGAGTGGCAAAATGAATGCTGACACTGGCGGACTGAATGCTAGTGTTAGATCCTTACAAATTTATATTACTTCCGTTCTCTGTTTAACACAATCTGGTTATCTTAGTATTAGATTTTTAAATTTATTTTACAAGCGATTGGCATACAGTGGGTGATGTGGTTAACACCACACTGGACGCCTTTGCTTACAAGGATTTGACCTGGTACCCACTCAAGGCTGGGTCTACCTGGGAGAAGGCCATTTTTGAAAAAAAATCTGGCATGGTCGGGACCCTAATATCCGATCCTTAGTCACGCGTCAATGTCAGATTGCACATTAACAAAAGAACACGAGAGAAGACTAAGCACCTGTGAAATGAGATGTTTGAGAATGGCTGCGAATAAAACCAGAAGAGTTTGAGTGAGAAACGATGTGATTACAAGAACTATTGGAACCATACCCATCGTTAAATTTATTGAGAAGCTAAGAATGAAATGGTTTGGTCACCTAATGAGAATGAAACCAACGATGCCAGCATCAAGAGCATTCAACATGAAAATCGAAACACCAAGAGGCAGGGGAAGACCAAGAAGAAGATGGATTGAAGGAGTCACGGACAACTTGAGACTTCATAACATCACGGCATATGAAGCGACTGAGCGCGCCCTGGCTCGGTTGCCGATCATCTGATAGACTGCGACGCCTAGCGGCACAAGCAGATTTTGACAAAAGAAGAAGTCACGCGTCTAACCGCTAGACTACAGCTACTCGCGACATTTCCAAGAACTTTATTCAGTATTCTAATAAATATCATATTCCCTGTCCAGATTTCTGCATTACATTAGACAATCTTCCCTTTTTAGCGTTTATTGCGGGTGTTTATCTCTATATAGACATTATTTCTAGCTAATTGTTTAACATGTTTTTTTTTCCTGAAAATCAACTGTTGTTAGTTTTGAACTGAAGCTGACATTTTTTAAACTGCACTTACCATTGTAACGGTTAAGCTTCCCACTTTATAAACAGACGGGCCGTGCTTTCTTCACTCGCAATCACTCAGCGACTGCGTTTGATCGTCACACAGGTTTTGACTGGAAATCGCAAGTATTGAATTTATCGTCAATAACAGTGGCTCTCAAACTGTGAAATAAAAAACAGCGTGGCTTAGGCGTTGCAAACTCGCTCTGGCAGTAGACTGCATTGCGACAGTGGTACCGGAAACTGACCGTTTAGAGAGCAATGACAAACTACTGAATGCAAATTTGCCTAGAAAAACTGCAATGGCCACCCTAACTGTCAACAGACTCTAATGTTGGTAAGCTTCATCATTATCATCGTCATCATCATCATCATCATCACAACCTTTACTGACAATATACGCGACCATGGTCTCACACAATTATTTATCAGGTCTGTGTTCTGGTTCCGCCCATGCCAGCCAAATTTGACTTCAGAATTGTACTGTTTCAGTTACAGACTAAGCGTCTAAAATTAGATTAAATTAAATTTAGTACTAGAATTAAAATCCATTCACACAGAAGGATAAGGAACACCCATGCCATCCTTGAAGAAGTTTCCCCTTAAAGATAAATCGAGGAAAATAATCAACTATTACATTACATATTACATATCCATCACGTTAATGACACAATGTGAGTAGGATTGTCTGATTATTCAAAGTACAATTTCTGTTATAATCCCAACCCAAATAAAGCAAAATGTGAAACAGCACAAATTATATATCCGCCTTTAATTATTAACACGATCTATACACACACACACACACACACACACACACACACACACACACACACATATATATATATATATATATATATATATATATATATATATATATATATATATATATATATATATAACAAATATATACTTTGAAAACTCGATGAACATTTCTTATTCCAATTATAAACGTAAGGATTTAACATGATATTTTTTTTTTATTACTACTAAATACTTAAGTGTCTAAAAATATTCCGGACTCAACACAAACGTCTATTACAACAGCACTGAAAAAAATGTGTTGCATAAAAAAGGTGTCAATACTGCGTACTGCTGCGCACCGCATAAAAAAAAAGAGCCCTAGTTCCACTTGGAGTTGAGAATCACTTATCTGTAAAATGCACTTTACAGTTAGACTGCCAACCTCATGTTAATGACATACGGCTCTTTTGTGGTGTGATCACGGCAACTCTGTGAACATGTCTCTATCGATAACGGGTATGATCAGAATAAAGTAGATGTGGCTATTAAGTCGCTTAAAGAAACAAAGTTCAAAAGAAATGTGCAGGTTGGTTTGTACGGTGCAAACAACTTTAAAATCAATCATACTCTCTTTGTAGTGGGAAATATAGGCTCAGTTCGTGACTAACTTTGCCTTGTATTTCTAAACGTAAGACTAAATTCTCTGTTCGACTCGAGGCATGGCGTCCGCATTGAGCGCTGGAGGTCCCGGGTTCAGGCCCTGGTTAAGGCTGGGATTTTTTTTTCACGTGGACTTCTTGTAATTTTCCCTGGTCTCTGGGTAGTTAGATCGGACACCCGAGTGTATTGTTGCGAACGTACAAACCCCTTTGACAGTTGGAAATCGAAATGAGTAGCCTGTCGGCGCTGCCCGGGCAATATAAAATACCCAAAGTATTTCAGGGTTCTCGCCGGTGCTACGGAGTTCGTACACTGCGCTGAGATTCTTCGGACATAGGCTTGAGTCAGAAACAGAACGGTGCACGTATGGGTTACCTCTTGTGCCTTGATGTTGATCTGTCATCTAAACGCAACCAAACCATCTGTGTTCGACTTCTTTTAGTGTGCCTTAGAAATTGTATTTATCTTGTCCTTACGTCATTGGCGAGTGATCATTCTCTCTCTCTCCCCCCCCCCCCCATCTCCAAGAATGCAATGAATGAGCATTGGAAATACATTTGTTTAAATCAAAATACACGATTCTCTATAGACTTTCAAGTAAACATATTGCGTGTAGTCTCTACAATGCAAGTTGTCTACCGTACACCTAGCTTCTAAAAATATTACTTGGCGTGATACTCAGTCTCGTCCGTGGTGCACTATCTCAGTGCCATCAGAAAGGCCCCCCCCCCCCACCCCCTTAATATAATATAATCTAGTGAAAGTAATTGATAATCGCTTTATATCAGTATGATATATATGTGTTATCAATTTATGTGGTAAATGCGTTCCCCTCTCTCAGGTGTTAATATGAGTATTTTTTTTTCTTCTTTGATCCTATTGTAAGAAAACCTTTTATCAGAAGGCCGGTTGCCTTGATGAAAGCTATTTTGCAGTCCAGATCTACCCAAAAAAAAAAGAAATTATTAAAAACTTGCCGATTTTTCAAAAGAACGTATCACACCTTGCTGAGAAGAACAGAACATGACAAACTTTGCTGAGACCCAGCAGAACAAAATAACTTTCACTGAATCCTAATAGAACAAGAATAACTTTGCTGAGACCCAACAGAACAAGACAAACTTTGCTGAGACCCAACAGAACAAGACAAACTTTGCTGAGACCCAACAGAACAAGACAGACTTTGCTGAGACCCAACAGAACAAGACAGACTTTGCTGAGACGCAGTAAAACATGAAATCTTTGCTGTCACTCATTAAAAACTGGAAATCTTTGCTGACACTGAAAGCAGTTTGGAAATATTAGCTGATACTCAGCACAACATGACTTTTGACGGCACAGAATATATAATGTCAGTCTTTGTTGACACCTAATACAACTTGGCAGTTTTTGACAATTAATAGTTGAACTTTAAAATCTGCCGTCAAAACTATTATAACTCTAAAACGTGTTCCTTACACAAACACGCTATTGAATAAACGGATATGTAAATTCTCTACAATGTCGAATAGCACAGAATAAAACCGGTTCAAATCGTCATTGTGGCTCTGTGGACGTTAAAATTTTCCTAGCGTCATTGAAAAGATCGATAAAAATCAAGACCAAAGTTTACTCAGTGTTAATCCTAGGATCTGAGCTTTGGTCTGAGTGCTGTTTTAGGTTAAACTCTTTTGCGGGAGAAAAGTGCGGACGGGTTGGGGCTGAAAATCAGGGTGGGAAGTCGAGAATTGATTAAATCCCTGACTAAATGAATAACTTGATACTTTCGATTCGAATGTTTTGCACAGAGTGTTTTTGTACCGAGTGGCAAGCATCACTTCCGAGGTCCCGGGTAGTTAGCTTCCTTTGGATATTATTTCCAAGTCATGGGGTGTGCTGGGAAACGAGCAGGCAGATAGACTGGCTGACTTTGCACCACTTGGTGGTGAATTGATGTATGACAAGTTAGATATAGTGACGGCACTTTGGGAGCGAGTGAACAGTGCTGAGGCACAGATAGATCATTACAGTCTGAGAATAGCACTGCGAGGAGTTACCAGGGGATCTGGCCGACGCTCAACACTCAGGGGAAGGATGAGACGGATATACTGGTATGATCGGAATTGGAACTCCTCGCTTCCTGCTGAAGATGGGGAATAAGCACTTATGGGAGTGTCCCGAGTGCTGTGATGTCGATTCTTAATTCAAACATTCAACATTCAATGTTTTGCACATCACTGTAGTAATCTTTGAGACGCATATCTTCTTTTACTTCAGCGTTCATCCGAAGATGTAACTGCGTTTTGCCCGTATACAGAATAACTACGATATCTGCGCCTTTAGGCCGACACATCTGACTTCTGCGGGCATTAGTTGACGGGTTAACCTTTCCGGAGACGTATACAGTTATTGTAATATAGGGAGCAGCAGTGGTGTAGAGGCTAGACCCTCACCTCGGGCTCGAAGGTTGTAGGTTCAAATCCGCATCGAGACGGATTTTCTTAAAAAAGGACTTCTGCTTTCAGATCTACCCAACCAAAAATGGGTACAAGGTTAAGTCACAGGAAATAAAGGCGGTTGGTATCTTCTTCTTCTTTTTCTTTTCTCATTAAATAAAGTATCTATGTCTACAATGCTGTCTCTAGTTTGAACTTCACTGTCTTTTGTAATTCCCTAAGCGGCCCGTAAAGTTCGACTTCCACAAGTGTCTCTTAGGCCAGAAGTTTTGTCTGGAAGCGTTGAATCTGGGAAAGTCTTGAAGGATGTGATCTGTTTTTTCAATAGCCAGTCCACAGGTATACATGGCAGATTGGCCAATCTTAAATTTTGAGTACACGTGGCAGCGAAGTCGATTGTGCCCTGTTCTAAGGCGAAGGATAATGACTTGCTCTGGTCTGTCCATAATATGGTAATCGTCTGATTGATTTGAGACGGCTGGTATGTTTTTGACCACATCACCTACCAAATGCCCATTATTCTACAAAGTGCTTAGTGGAACAGAGAGAGTGAAATTATCAACTGTGGCTTAGGCGTTGCAAGCGGGCTTTTTAATTCAGTGGTGTCGGGTTCGATCCAAACTTTGGGCGCTTTGACACAGACCACATTTCTGTGGTTTCGGCAGTGATATCGAGAAGCAAACATTCAGGAAGCAATGGCAAACTACTGAACCTAATCTTACCCAGTGAAATCACACACAGCCAAAAAATTACAGGGTTGGTTTTACGTCATGTAAAGGACATCTTGTTGTTGTTGTTGCATGTTAAAATACGATATTAGCACAAAAAATAATAGGTTAGAAGAAATGGAGGAATGTTTATCTGTCAATCAATCAGGTGCCGTCTCCACAATGGAAGTTGGCTGCAATTGATCTCCAACACGCCCTGTCTCTTGTCTTGGTTGAAAACTCAGACAGCTATCGTCCATCTCCTAATGTTGTCCTCCCACTTTTACCGTTGTCTACCTCTTGCTTTCTTGACCTCAACATTTTTCTCAGGTTGGGGGGGGGGGGGAAGTGGGTGAAAGGAGGTGGGTGGGGAAGGGGGGGGGGGGGGCAAAGGGCTCTTTTTACTCTTGGTGTATCATACAAGGGACATAACACATTAATATTGTTATTATTAAATAATGGAGTTATAT